TTGATAAGCGAAGAAGGTTGTGAGTCAGCGCCTTCTCATGGGCTTACTGATACAGCCAATCGCACATCCCTTACCAATACGTTTTCTCATACAATTAGTAAAAACGATAGATCGGACCACCTTCTCCTTTTTTCTTATTGGTTAGCTAGCTGGTCAGACCACTTTCTCAGTTCTTCCCTTTCTCGGTCTGACCATCGCCGTTCACTATATAAAGAAGTACATACTCGATGTATTGTTCTCTAGTTCAATATTAGTTTGGATTTGCGCTCATACCGATACTCTTCATTCTCATACCCTGATTCACCGCCTTCCAGCAAGGACTTGACCAGGCATTGTGCTTTGTTATATAGCTTCGTATTTGTTGCCTGACACCACCCCCTGTGAGGCAACGATAAACTATAACAAAAACTAAACCTATCTCCTTCTGCACTTGCAGGGAGTAAGGGTCCAATGAGCTTTGAGGTCGACAGACGCTAGAAATATAGCGAGTAGAGGACTTTGAGAGGTAAGCTTCAAAGGTTCTTGTTGAGGAGTAAAGCGGGTAAATTCAGTAATAGAAAGCTAAGGAGCTATACATGAATAGGTACGTCTTTATATAGAGAACTGTCCGTTCCTCAGACCGAAAGGAGAATATACGAAAAGTGGTCTGAGGAATTAATCAACCAATAGGAAAAAGGGAGAGTAACTATCGTACGACTTCTGACTTGATTAATCAGCAGGTGAGAGACTTGTACTAATAATAGAAGATTGTTACGCGTGGTCAGGAACCGTATCCTCATGATGAGGTACGATTCTAGATAAGGCGTTTATTAGTATTACCAGGCTTTACTAGGGCTTGGAGCTGGTTGGCGAGATGCCTACTACCAGTCTCTACCCAGTGTGCTGGCTAGCTGGGAGCGATGCCCAGTCTCTGATCTGTGATATAAAGTGGTAGCGATGGTTAAGAAAGCCTGTGAGGGCTATGAGAAGTAAGATGGCAAAGGATACCTCTAGCCCTAGAGCCAGAGGTGTAACGGGAAAAGCGTCTGAGAACCAAGACATAACAAAGATAAGAAAATAGTAAAACGGTCCTTACATTACCCCCCCCTTTTATATTCTTGTCCCAAGAATCTTAGCGCCGCAGTCCGTGAAGCGGTTTGTGATCCAGTCGAAAAGGCGGGGTTTTTCGGTTGTTGTAGTGAAATTTTCGTATGGACGAAATCGTAAGGCGGCAGAGGCGATGACACGTGGGGCGGCAGGGTGTTTGCGGTGGAAGGTGGCAATAAGTGAAGGGGAATTTTTCAAATGGTGGTCGGGTTCCCACGTCCTCTCTGTGATCGGGTATCCCTTCCAATGGACGAAGTAATCGAGCTTAGCCCCTTTGAGTTTAGTGGGCCGAGAAGCAATGATTTCTTCGGCTTCGTATTCGGCTGCGCCATCAACTTGGATCGGCGGAGGTTTCGAGGTACGAGGTTGATTAGGAAACTCCGGCGTGTGATACGGCGATAAGAGGATTTCGTTGAATACGGGATGGATCGCCTTCCAGGATCTAGGGACGTCAAGGAGGTAAGCGGATGGGCCGACTTTTGCCTTTACCGTAAACGGGCCAAATCGCTTGTCATCTAACTTCTTCATCGGTCTATCGGTGGAGATATGAGTTCCTTCTAACCACACCTTATCCCCTTTGTGATATTCCCGTGCTTCCGTGCGTTTTCGGTCATAGTACTTTTTGAGGTTTTGATTAGCAAGTAATAATGATTGCCTAGTTTGCTCGTGTAGTTTTGTCATAGAGGTTGCGAAATCTTCGGCAGCCTGCGAACGTCCGGAAGGCTTCTGACCGGTCCCTTTGCGAGTGTGAGAACCATAATTTACGAAGAAGGGGGTCTGATTGGTCGCAGAGTGGAGATGATTGTTGTACGTGAATTCGGCAATGGCTAGCCAATCAGCCCAGTCGTCTTGTCGGTGATTAATGAACGTGCGTAGGTAGTGTTCTAGGTCTTGATTGATTCGTTCGGATTGCCCATCAGTTTGGGGGTGGTAACCTGTTGACAGGCCGGGTTCGATCCCAAGGGTCTGATAGAAGTCCTTGGTGAAGTTCGACATGAATTGAGGTCCTCTATCTGATATAATTTTTTCCGGGATGCCGTGTAGTCGTATAACCGAATCTCGTAGTTGTTTGGCGTAGCCTAACGAATCAAGAGTAACGTGCGTTGGTACGAAGTGAGCCATTTTCGAGAATCTGTCAACAAAAACCTGGATAGCGTCGTATCCGTTTGACTCTGGTAATGCTCCGATGAGATCCGTTGTGATTATCTGCCAAGGACGATCAGGGATCGGATTTGGATGGAGGGGAGCATGCGGTTTTTGACAATGCGACTTTGTTCTCTGACATATCTCGCATCCTGCGACATATTTCCTGATATCTCTCCTGAGGCTAGGCCACCAGAATGATCGGTTTACTCCTTCGTGCGTCTTTCTTTCTCCTGGGTGTCCGCTGAGGCTCGTGTCATGTTCTTCTTCGATAATACGTGCCCTCAACTTCGGATCTTGGGGTACGTAGATTTTGTTTTTGAAGGACCCTAACGTCAACTCGTCTTCTTTCTCATTTCCTATCCAAACGATTCCGTCTCGTTTCTTCCAAACTTTTGGATCTTCTTTCAACTTCCTTACTACGTAATCGTCTAGTTTGTGCTGCGAAGCTAGCAGCTCATCCAGGTAGTGTTCTTCTAACACGTCCTCCATAGTATAAATGTTTGCTTCCGCGAGCTGAGGTAGAAGGACCTGTCCTTCGTTGTCTCTCTCGCCTCTCGGATGGTCTACTCTTCGGCTAAGTAGGTCCGCTTTCGTGTTCGCCGAGCCTTTCACATGCTCTAGCTTGAAATCGTATCTCGCTAGTGTGTCCATCCACCTAGCTTGTCGTCTGTTTACCTTCTGGGGGTCTCGGAAGTAGGTGAGGTTTTGATGGTCGGTGAATATGGTGAACTGGTGTTTAGCTCCCATGAGGAGGTGTCGCCATTCTTCTAACGCATGCATTACCGCTAGCATTTCTTTATCCCAGATAGCGTAATTTCTCTCTGCAGGGTTCATCGATTTTGACAGGAATGCGACCGGTCTCCATTTCCCTTCTTGCTGCTGGGATAACACTGCTCCCGTGGCATAGTTGGAGGCATCACATTTAACTTTGAATGGATCCTCGTCGTTAGGGATTGCGAGTGTGGGCGAAGTGGTGATTGTCTTTTTGAGAACGTCGAACGCTCGTTGTTGGTCTTCAGCCCACTCCCAGTCTACCTTTCCGGTGAGAATCGTCAGCGGTTTGGCAATCTTTCCGTAGTCTCTGATGAATCGTCTGTAAAAGTTTGAAAACCCTAGGAATGACTGTAACTCCTTCTTTGTTCGTGGTATCGGCCATTCTGCAACTGCCTGTACTTTTAGCGGGTCCATACAAATCGTATCATGGGAGATGATCATTCCCAGATATTCGACTTCTTTCCTTTCAAACTCGCATTTCTCTGGCTTGAGATATAATTGATTGTCTGCGAGTATCTGAAGAACTTTGGATACGATCTTCCTGTGTTCTTCTAACGAGTCGGTGAATATCATGATGTCGTCGAGGTATACGATAACTGATCCTTCGTTGATTAGGTCTCTGAGAAGTCGGTCCATCATTGTTTGAAAGGTGGCTGGGGAGTTCGTGAGTCCGAAGAACATAACCAGAGGTTCGAACAGTCCTCTGTTAGTTCTGAAGGCGGCCTTGTGCTCATCTCCTTCTTTGATTCGAACATTATTATATCCCCAACGGACATCTAGCTTGGTGAAGAATCTCGCTCCTTTGAGTCGGTTTATCAATTCTGAAATGAGGGGTAACGTATATCGGTTTTTAATTGTGAGGGCGTTGAGTTTCCGATAGTCTTGTACCGGTCTGAGAGATCCGTCTTTTTTCTTGATAAAGAAGAACGGGGATGCGTAAGGGGATTTCGATACTCTGATCCTTCCTGTCTCCAGGTTCTCTTTCAAGAATTCGTCAAGATGAATTTGTTCATCTCGGTTGAGTGGATACGTTTTACAGTCTAGACCTTTGGCTTCTGGTAGGAGTTCAATTGCGTGATCCCAGACTCGTCGTGGGGGTAGTTTGTCAAATGACGCTTTTGTGAATACTGGCTCAAAATGATGATAAAATGGGGGAACGACGTCTCTGAACGTGAGTGTTGACTTTGCTCGTTCTGATTCTTCCGCAATCTGTTGGCTTTTGGTCTGAGATACGTTGCTTTCGACGGAAATTTTGTCAATCCTGCTCTGTAAGTCTACAGCGATGACTCTATCTCCGTCTTCAGGGTGATACTCCGTATCATCAGAAGGGTACGTGATGGTGTTGGTTTGCCAGTTGATATTGGGATTCGTGCGTCGTAGCCAGTCGTGTCCTAATAAAATTCTGGCCTCTCTTTGTCCAGTGACTAGGAAGTCCATTAATTCCGTGCGACCTGCCACAGTTAGGCGAAGTGTCACATATTCCGTTAAAGGTCCAGTGCGATTCTTGGTTCCATCGGCGTTTGAGACAATAACACGAGTTGGCAGTGGTTTTGTGGAAATGTTGTGTTGCCGAACAAAGGCTTCGTCAATGATAGAATCTGTGCATCCTGAATCTATCAAAACTGGAATGACATGCGTCTGGTGATCGTCGATAGTGGATAATTGACATTGTAGCGAGAGTTTGCGTTGATGAGATGGGGGGAGGGATGCGAAGTCTTTGATCACATTCAATTGCTCTACGATATACTCTTCATCGTGTTGCTTGAGTAGATTGATTGTATCCGTCGTGATGTGTGGGTAACACTGGGGTGAGGCCCAGTTCCGAACCAATGCTTTGGCTCTTTCTTCTTTCTGGTCTTTAATTCGTCGAGCCAACCATTCTGCTGAATGTGGCTTAGCGTATTTCTCGGCACGTGGGTTTTGGGAAACATGTTTTGATTTATCAGTTACAAATACATTTTCCGAACCGTGCTTACTGGTCAGAGAGTCCGTGCTTACTCCTGACCTTCGAGAAAATCCTTCGTCTTCGTCTCCTCCTGGGTTGTGGTTGCTTCTCTAGCTGCAACTTTCTTCAGAGGGCAGTTCCTTGCGATATGACCCGGCTGGCCACATCCGTAACATAACCTGAACCGACTCTGTCGGTCTGTATCCATGGGTACGCCTTGTCCGGGGAATACACCTCTCTGAGGTTGATCCTCGAACCTTCTTGCATACTGATTCGTCTGGGGTCTCGCCATCTGCTGTGGCTGCGGCACATGCTGGTGCGTATACGTCTGTTGTCTGTAGATGGGTCGCGACGGCTGCGTGACTTCTCTCTTTCGTCTTTCGTCTAATTGAAACTCTTCTCTTCGTGCCTCCCATGCGTAGGCTTGCGTTTTCCACTCAGCAAATGATTTTGGTAGGTCTCTCTGGATGATGACGAAATCACAGATTCGAGAGTGAAGATTCTTTTTGAGAATTCGATTGATCACGTCGAAGTGAGTGGTAGCGTCATATCCGGCCTTGTCCATGAGCGTTGTGAAATGGCTAAAGAATTCGTCGCAATGCTTATTCTCCTGCTTGTATGTCTCGATCTCGTTTACCGCCTGCGATCTTTCGTTTGGATTTCCGAATACTTGGGCTAGATCGGTTAGGACGGTCGAGAGAGTCGGCCATACGGGGGTAGTTGCGTCGAGAGCTTTGGTAAGCACGTTCTCTTTCCAAGCTTTTACTGTCGACGTTCCTTGGTCGCTGATTTTGGATAGGAGGTAGATGAGCTTCGTCTTCTTGTCTGGAAAGTAGGATGCGTAGGCGGTTAAGTACAACTGTAGTGCTTGGCGCCATGCTATAAATCGTTCCTTTTCTCCTTTGAATTCGAAGGGTTCTGCTGCGAGAGTTACTTTGCCGTGTAACTGCGTGGGGTTAGACATGGATGAGGGTTTTGGAGGAATTGGAGGTGGAGGTGGAGGTGGGCGTGTAGGTGGTAGTGGTAGGGTTTGTCTGGGTGGAGTCTCTGGTTCTATGGACGGTCTTGGGTTTCGATATTCGGAAAACACTTTGAAGAATTAAAACGAGTTTTATTTAGTTTGAATCGTAATCAAACTTGTCACTCCAATCGTTAGAAGTAAATCCAAAAATATTCTCTTCTTCTTCCAAATCTCTTTCTACCTGTGAGCTAGTGGTAGAATTACTGTCCAAGTTCGAGGTTGTTTCGTCTGGTGAGGGGGTCCTTTCTATGAGAACGTTTCCTTGAATCAACGAGGATACGGGAGGGATATAAGAGAAATTTCCGTGGGTCAGATGGTACGCTGGTTTATACTGCGAGTAGACTCTGTTGTTTTCTCGAATAAGTGTTCCCCAGAACTCGGTGTTGATCTCGGTAACGATGAAACGATCTGTGGGGTGGCGGATGACTAAATCAAAAACTTCTTTTCCGTAGTTTTGGTATTCTCTGAACAATCGACAGACGTTCCTGATCTGTCTTTGTTCTCTTTCCCAATTTCTTCCTTCGAGGATTTCGTGTCCAATCTTAAACACTAGTCTGCGAAATTGTGATATACAGGCTACTATCCTTCGTATTGCGTCGCGGCAGAAAGGGGTGACAACTAATACGTGGACTCCTGTTTTAAGATAATCTCGTGGGTTGAAGGCGTCGTTCTGTTCGGGAGTGAGGGGGACGTCGAAGAAGAATGGTATTTCCCGATAGAATTTGATGAGATCGGTTTCGTAAATTCCAATTCTTGTAAAAAGAAGTTCAAGAGGGGTAGGATTAAATGACGCTGTAACGTATACGTCAATTTTGGATGGTTCGAGGTAGGGCGTAAGGAATTCTAGGTAAGGTGCGGAGTAGGGTCGTCGGTGGATGATGATTCCACAGGGAAGTAGGTAGTGGATCTCTCTCCCGTCCTGTTCTGGTGAGAACGCAAGTTGGGGAGTTTCAACGTAGTTTGGAAGGTGATAGATGCGTGGAGAGATTCCGTCGGATAGTATGAGAAGAGCTGTCTTATGTTCTGCCACTCGTCATCTGAGGGCTCGTCTTTCTTCACTGTCGTTCCGACGAGGGGGTTCTAGAATTCTCTGTTCGTAGACTTCGATCGATAGGTGCTCTAGGTGTATCGAATTGAACCTGAACAATTCTCTGGATGCTTGATCGGATTCCCAAAAGCAGGTTTGAGCAGCTGCCGATGCGTACTCGAGTAAGCGCGACGTATTGACGGAGTTGGGAGATTTCGAATGCTAAATCGTCGACGGCTAGAACTAGTCCTTCTAGTTCAGAGATGGGGGAAGAGGCGGCTGATGAGTCTTCGTAATACTCAGTTTCTGTGTCGCTGCGGACAGGCTGGGGGTGCGTGGCAGCGTTGACAGGTACTGCAACGTGGAGTTCTCGGTTGTTGAGGGCGTGATGGAATTCCTCGAGTGAACGTCGTTCTTCGTCCGTTACTAGGCTCTCTCTGATGTTCGACAGTTTGACGGTTGTAGAAGTGATCAAAGACGACAGCTAGGGTGAGGACTTGAGCTAGAACAAGTAAGAGTATTACTTCGAGGTGGGTAGGAATGTTGGAGAGGACAACTAGCTAGCTTAGCTAGAAGGCAAGTGGTTGTTTTGGATGGGGAGGAGGACGGTGAATGACAACACGTCCGAGGGATGAAGGAAAAGGTGGGTTAGGGCTATAATGGGTTCGAGCGAGATGGTACGCTGTGAACGGATTGTAGAGTGAGCTTTCTATTTTGTGAGGCAACGATAAACTATAACAAAAACTAAACCTATCTCCTTCTGCACTTGCAGGGAGTAAGGGTCCAATGAGCTTTGAGGTCGACAGACGCTAGAAATATAGCGAGTAGAGGACTTTGAGAGGTAAGCTTCAAAGGTTCTTGTTGAGGAGTAAAGCGGGTAAATTCAGTAATAGAAAGCTAAGGAGCTATACATGAATAGGTACGTCTTTATATAGAGAACTGTCCGTTCCTCAGACCGAAAGGAGAATATACGAAAAGTGGTCTGAGGAATTAATCAACCAATAGGAAAAAGGGAGAGTAACTATCGTACGACTTCTGACTTGATTAATCAGCAGGTGAGAGACTTGTACTAATAATAGAAGATTGTTACGCGTGGTCAGGAACCGTATCCTCATGATGAGGTACGATTCTAGATAAGGCGTTTATTAGTATTACCAGGCTTTACTAGGGCTTGGAGCTGGTTGGCGAGATGCCTACTACCAGTCTCTACCCAGTGTGCTGGCTAGCTGGGAGCGATGCCCAGTCTCTGATCTGTGATATAAAGTGGTAGCGATGGTTAAGAAAGCCTGTGAGGGCTATGAGAAGTAAGATGGCAAAGGATACCTCTAGCCCTAGAGCCAGAGGTGTAACGGGAAAAGCGTCTGAGAACCAAGACATAACAAAGATAAGAAAATAGTAAAACGGTCCTTACACCCCCCTTCTACCCGTCTTCTTTGCCCCCTCACCATACATAATGTCACCACTTTCTATCCGCTTCTGTTGCTGATCCGTTGACCACCACATGCCACTGCTGATATCAGCAAAGCCCCGGTGGCCGGTCCAAATTGGGCAACAAGTCCATCTTCATGACGTCAATCTTCCATTGTATACTATTAAATCATCAGTTGCTCATCTCGCCTGGTTGGAGTGTGGGTGGGTAGTTTTCAAGCTGGAGAAGGTTCATCCCCTTGCATTGCCTATGTACATTGCTGTCCCATCCACTTGAGTACACTTATCCTCCATCCATGGTCTTTGCTACAGCTACACCTACTACACACTGCCTGGGACTCACTTGTTCCAAATTGGAACTACTCCTCTCCCTCCCTCGTTTGATCAGGTGGTCCAACACAACCAGTCCATTGGTAAGGCCATGGAACTGTCGGATTTGGACTAGGTGGTGGACCGGTGGCTCCAGTTTCTTTTTCTTCAGCAGAACATTCATTTACAGTGCGATTATTTTTGATTTTTGAATCATTTTTATGGACACATATTTTTTAGAATGCCTGACTGGCAATAAAGGATTTGTGTTGATACTGATAGTGTTTTGCCTTGCCCTTTTTTTACTGCATCTTCCCATGACATCATGATTTTCCTGCTCTCTTTTTGCTATTGGACTTTACTTTATGGCTGTACAAACCTGTGACATTACTCACAGCATTCATTGTTCTATCTCTTTCTTTTCCTTTTTTGACAATCTTATCCTGTACTACCTACGCAGGATTCGTCAGCATACATTCCTTCCTTCATGTTCCTTCTCATTCGTTTTGCACAGCTATACTGTGCATAGCCTACTTTTCTTTTACTATATAAACCCCTGTATTTTACCTTGTAAAAAAAACAAGAACTCCATTCCATACTTCTTCTCTAAATTCAAGTTCACTACTCTGCTGCTTGTGATCCAGTGTGGTCACAACACTTCCCACTGCTACCACTGTCAACTGCTGTCATCGTTACTTCCCATTTTTTGAAGTCATTGTCATCCCTTTCGATTAGAGTCCTTCTGAGCACTACAGTTTGTGCGTCAGGAGCCTGCTATCACTGGGAACCTCGTCACCTCGTCATCCTTGTTGTTCTCAAACCTACCATGTGCTACAATTAGCAAGGTAGTGCTCGTCTATACTCGCCACAAAGCCCCTATCTTTCTATAAATTCAACTATCCCTCCTCCTCAAAACCCACACTCATACACCTCTGGGTTTTACTTTGAAGGATCTTTATACATACCACCCCACGAACAACCAGACCACTCCACTGTTCTAGGAGGCAAAGCCCATAAACAAGTTCCGTGGAATCTGGGAGGATTGTGTGTTAGTTTGTTTTTGTGTGTGGTTTTCTAACAGCAGTTCTCATCTTCGACACCGCAACGCTGTTCGCAAATTTTATTCGAAGAATCCCTCGGCTCCTAGGAAGCTCAGAGGCATGGATTCGAAACTTTTTAATTACCTTTTTCAACCTATGCCCAAAAATCTAACTACTACCTCCGGTACTTGGTCTCGCCTGGAAGTTGAGCCTTAGAGGGGGGGTAGTGTTACGATAACACATTTTTGGACCTTTAATTTTCATTCTCCTCTTTAACCTTTTACTGTAGTTTTCTCACATTGTGCCATGCAGCACTTTCCCTTTTGTTCAAACTCCACTTTCTCACGCTGCGCTGCCTTTCCTTCTATTTTAGATACAAGTCTCTCACGCAGTGGAGCTTGTCACACGGGCTGCGCCCTCTGACATCATCAGCCACTGCCTTATCAAATGTATAGTACAACATGTACACACAACCTGTAGTAGTATATACCTCAATAGATCCAGGAGACTCCTCAGCGAGTCCTCCTGTTGTATCCTCACAACTAACTTGTTGAAGCTTAAAGGGGTAACCACTCCCTCATCATTATCTCTATAGTTAGTTCTAGTTGTGCGCCAGAGTAACAAACTCTTGGTTGTTACAAGACCCAAAATTAGCTCTATGAGGTCCAGAAATCTGGTGGACATATTGGTTGGGGTTAGGGCAAAATATTTGGTGGCCAAATTTTTGCTAGTGAGTGATTGCCAGCTCAAGGAGGAGTGGAAGAGGTGTATCAGGCAGAGGAGGCCAACAAGGCCAAGGAAGAGAAGAAGCAAGTAGAGGCAGAGAAGGTGGGCAGCTATTTTCTAAGTTTGGCAGAAGACTTGAAAGAAATATCTTGTTTGTATATATATGGTCAGACTGTTGGTTACTATAACTTTTGTTTAATTAAAAACCCTCTTCTTTGAATATTGCAGAACAGTGCTATAGCATTTTCTTTTGTTTTCTATTAATGTTTGAACCAACTAGTGTTTGCTGAATTGTGGGAGTATGGTGTCGGGCCGGAGTTGAAAGGGTGATGTGGCGGAGATGGCCGGCTTTGACAGTGAATAATTCAAGGAAATTCTCACGTTTCTGATTCTGCTCCTAACATCCAACTGTCGTCTTATTCGCCGACGCTGCTGTTCTGCCTGTCTCTTTCTTTTCTTCTTTTCCTTTTTCTCTTCTCTTTCATTCTCTCTCACCTCTCTGCCATCCTCACATTTTATATCTCCATCTCTACTGGACTCTCTGATTCCTTTTTCATCCGTCCTCTCTCCAGATATCTCTTTCCCCTGTAATTGCGTCGTTTTGGCTCCAAATTCAATTCTATCAACTCACATCTATCCAGGCCCATCATTTCACAACTCATTCCGAACTTTGACGCGATGAACTCAATGGGAGGCATGGGAGGTCCCGCTGAGGCTCCGGTACGTTGGTTTGCATGTCGTCCTTGAGAACTGATTCTGACCTATTCTTCTCTCGTATCCTTTTGTCGTTTGACATATCATTGTGATTTGCACCTCCATATTTTGAAATTCTGAATACAGAGACGGGCACATTTATATGTCGGGAATCTGAGTCCTCGGGTCACCGAGTATATGCTCACCGAGATTTTCGCCGTCGCAGGCCCTGTTCAGCACGTTAAAATCATTCCCGATCGCAACTATCAACACGGTGGTCTTAATTATGGCTTTGTTGAATACATGGACATGCGTGCTGCCGAGACTGCCCTCCAAACTCTCAATGGGCGTAAAATATTTGATACGGAAATTCGCGTTAATTGGGCTTACCAAGGCCAACAAAACAAGGAAGACACCACTGGTCACTATCACGTCTTCGTTGGCGATCTCAGCCCCGAAGTCAACGACGAGATTCTCGGTAAAGCATTCAGCGCGTTTGGAACTATGTCTGATGCTCGCGTTATGTGGGACATGAACTCTGGGAAGTCCCGTGGTTACGGATTTTTGGCTTTTAGAGATAAAACCGACGCGGAGCAGGCTATTGCCACAATGAATGGAGAATGGCTTGGTTCTCGTGCAATCCGTGTCAACTGGGCCAACCAGAAGACTCAAGGCAGTGTCGCAGTGGCATCCCCGCCTCGTCCAGGTGCAACCGGCGGTGCTCCCGCTCCTATCAATTTTCAGGGTGGACCCCTTTCCTATGATTCTGTAGTACAACAGACACCCTCCTACAATTCCACAGTTTACGTCGGCAATCTTGTCCCGTATTGCACTCAAGCCGACCTTATTCCACTATTCCAATCCATCGGATATCTCTCCGAAATTCGCATGCAAGCTGACCGTGGATTTGCGTTTGTCAAGCTCGACACTCATGAACATGCTGCCATGGCTATTGTGCAGCTCCAAGGCCAGATGGTTCATGGAAGACCCATAAAATGTAGTTGGGGTAAAGACCGAGCAGATGGCACGACAGCTCAGCCAGGTGGTCCGCTCAGTCCTACTCCTGCGTCTGCTCCATACGGAAATCTTGTTCGTGCATTCTATCATCTTCTCGACTAATATTGACTTCGCTTATTAGCCTATGTACGGTATGCCTCAGCCAAACACCTATGGACAATATGGCTTTGGTGGTTATGGTGGTTTTCCTAATCAAGCTGGCAGCACCGTTCCGGCAGGGATGGCTCAGCCTGCCGCTTCTGGAGGTGGTGCTCCTGGTATTGGTAGCATTGGCATGGCCGCTGCCACGCAAGCTGGTGCTGCGGATCCAAATGCAAACGTAGCCGGTGGTCAAGCTGGACAGGTTCAGTGGCCAGGAGGTGACCCGAGCTCTTATTATTCCAATTACTGGGGTGGTGAGTTTTATTCTGGGGCCAGCTTGTCGTTACTCAGCTGCATTTGTTTATACAGGTTACTACGGCCAGCAAGGGTCGCAAATGCCAACAGACGGCCAGCATCAGGGTACTGCTTAAAGAATGTTTATTCAAAGAAGACGGCTCAGCTTTTGCGTTCGATGATTTCCAATGTCTCCTGTTTTTGTTATCCTGGTATTTTCCCACCAGATAGTTCCTGCTTTTCTCGTCGTCTTTATATGCTTAAGCTTGTGATAGAAGTCTCGTTATGCAGCTGTAGCGAAGAAAAAATTGGCTTGTTTGGACCTTTTTGTTGCCCTCTGTAATGTTTTTTCGCTGGGGTGTCACATGATACTTGTTCGGTAAAAGGTGCTTTTACTTAATTATGTGAAATATTTACGGCATCACCGTTGGGCACGTAATCAGTTCAGTAATTGTTGTCATCTGGTGGTTGGTGGTCTTACAAGATGGGTCTGACAAACTTGCAGGTCAGTTGATAGAGTCCTTCCAACTCATGATGCATTGCAAAAGCATGATATCTTGAAGCCTCCTACACGCCAATTGATTCAATTGTAAGCAATCTATCATCATGATAGATGATGGGTATATTGGATTGTACTGTGTGGCTTAGTGCAAGCTATTTATGACTCAATTCATCAATTCATGCCTCTTTTTTGACCATGGTCCCAAATTTCTTGTTGAATACTCTGAAGTATATGCTCAGACTGTACAAAGTAACTTGCCAATGTTCATAAACAAAGATTGTATCAACATGTTCACATCTCACAGTCAAGTGTAGCTGTAGTTTTCCTTTTTTGTATTAGTGTCAATAGTGTACATTTTTGTATCACCCTCAATTCTTAGGGACTTAAAAGTGATACCTCCAAACAAACTTCGTCTTTGATCCAAGTTTGAAACACTGGGCTTGTGCCCAGATGGATTTGCTCGGCAAATTGCCAGAAATGCAGCTGCACATGAATTCTTAACAAAGCATTAGCAATCTGTAGAGATATATATATGTCTTCTCTGTGATTCTGATCAGGATGGTTAAGACCTACAGGATGCTACATCAGCCAGCATCTACAAGATGTCTGCTCAGCTATCACCTTGTGGCCACCCTACTCTGAATTTAGCCAATAAATACACCTGGATCCCCATAAATGTGAGGCAACGATAAACTATAACAAAAACAAAACCTGTCTCCTTCTGCACTTGCAGGGAGTAAGGGGTTCAATGAGCTTGAGGTCGACAGAGGCTAGTAAATATAGCGAGTAGAGGACTTTGAGAGGTAAGCTTCAAAGGTTTCCGTTGAGGAGTAAAGCGGGTAAATTCAGTAATAGAAAACTAAGGAGCCATACATGAATAGGTAAGGCTTTATATAGTGAACTGTTCGTTCCTCAGACCGAAAGGAGAATATACAAAAAGTGGTCTGAGGAATCAATCGGCCAATAAGAAAAAGAGAGAACAACTATAGTACGACTTTTAACTTGATTAATCAGTGGTGAGAGATTTGTACTAATAATAGAGGTTTGTTACGCGTGTTCAGGAACCGTATCCTCATGATGAGGTACGATCCTGAACAAAGTGTTTATTAGTATATCCAGGCTTTACTGGGGCTTGGAGCTGGTTGGCGAGATGCCTACTACCAGTCCCTACTCAGTGTGCTGGCTGGCTGGGAGCGATACCCAGTCTCTGATCTGTGATATAAAATGGTAGTGATGGTTAAGAAAGCCTGTGAGGGCTATGAGAAGTAAAATGGCAAATGATACCTCTAGCCCTAGAGCCAGAGGTGTAATGGGAAAAGTGTTCGAGAACCAAGACATAGCGAAGATAAGAATATAATAAAATGGTCCTTACAATAAACATCTGATGTTAGTGTCAGTTGTCCTCCAACTGCCTAACCCCAATCTTGTCAATGTCAAACCAAATTATGTCTGAGATATGAGTTCAGAAAGCTCAGGAGTTTGAGGGAGCTTTTACCACATATGTCCAAGATTCTCTCAATGTCTGTCAAAACCATGACCTTTGAGTTGCCGGAGTTTGGAGGATAGAGGTACACTTGTGAGAGTGGAGCGGAGTACAAGGTTTGGAGTGAATGAGGGGAGAGTAGAGGATGAAATAGGAGAGGAGTAAAGGCCCTTTGGAGAAGGACTTGGAAGACTTAGAAAGAACTTGGTAAAAAGGCATGAGGTGTTACGATCTCTATTGGACATTTAAGGACTGCTCATTTCTTTTTACTCATCGGTTATACCATCGGACCAATGACTCATTTCCTTCACGTACACTTCTGTTCCTCTTGCATTTGCAGTACCTATTATAGTACTTAGTCCTCAACGGACGGACCTGCCCTAGATAGGACCTAACTCCTATCACCGATTCCTTTCCATTATAAATACCATGTAACAGCAGTAGTATTCTGGAATACGATTCTACGCAGTTTACGCTTACAAAGCTAGACTCCTAAGATCAGACTTCTACTCAGAAGAAGACCAACTCTTGTTGGAAGAACTCAACTCAGAACTACGTTCTCGAACTTGTCTTCGGATAAGTCTCTTTACAAACCTCGACGAACCCTCAGACTTTGTTAAGCACTTTGTGCGTAACATGAGGAACTTATGGATATTCAAACTGCAAGAATGGAGTACAGGAGTTACATCTTATACAGTATATTATGGAGGGAGTGGAGTCTGTAAGGTGTAACTCATAATGTAGGAATATATGGAGGAAATGTATGGCAGACTGAAAGTCCGGGGTAGGAGATCAGAAGGTACAGGGCCATGCCAAATAGCAGAGCACAAGGAATGCAATTCTGGGAAAACAAAAGGCTTAGGAGTTCAAACTTGGGGGTTTCTGGCTATTTGGAGGTTCAGGTTCCCTGGCCTGTGGCATAGATATGACAACATCCTTAATAGTTGTGATAGTAGTAAGGATGGCAGGGAACATGGTGAAGTTCTATATCATGATAATGAGCTTTGTAAGTGATGTATGGATCTCGATCAGCCTCTAAATTCACTCCAAAGCATAGACCATATCGAGCCTAGGCAGCCTGGCCAGAGGTCACATGTCAGTGCTGGTGCATGAAGGCTTTGGCATGACCCCTTAATTAGTGTGCCAATACAATACAAACTCAAATACTGATGTATGTAGTCACATGCTTTAGACATTGTATTGAACCTACTATGCTCTGGTTTTTTGTACAAAACTATAGAAGTCCTTCTATGACTCTCGAAAATGAATGGAGTTAATGATGATATCATTTGTCACACCCCTTGTGATGTCAAAACACAAAGGTATGTGGGCATATTTTCTATGTTGTGAAGTTGCAATTAATCATTGCAATGCTAAGATGTGATGCTCTCTCTGAATTCTGTTGAACTGAAAATTTCTAGGACTTTGCAAATCCTGTTGTACATAAATAGCTACAATTTTATCCAGAGGATGCAGATTCACATCTCAAAGAAACATATCAAGCTAGCTAGTGGCTATTAATACAAATCCCCCACCCCCGTACAATATATTGGTTTATCAAACTACTTTGCTTTTGGACTAGACAAAGGGTGTGTATCACATATTGCTGATATACAAAAGGGGGGATATTGTAGTTATGTGTTTGTTGGTGTAGATAATTGTCAAGCTGGTTGGACTATCAAGCAAGAAAACCAGATAACTGTAGAAATTATATTATGTAAGTGAACCTCAGTACACTGCCTTAAGTTTTTATCTTATAATTATATCTGGCCACTTGTGGATATTTTGTGATTTTGCATGGTGTAACAACCAAGAGTTTGTATACTCTGGTGCACAACTCAGACAAGTTGTAGTGAAATGAGTGGGAGTGGTTACCCCTTAAGATGGGACCAAGGTAATTGTAGATAAACAACAGAAGGACTTGCTGAGGAGCCTCCTTGATCTATTGGGGTTCATATACATCTACAGACTATTTGTACATGTGTACTATATAGTTGATGAGGGCAGTGGCTGATAATATCATAGAGTGCAGCCCTTTGTGACCAGCTCCACTGCATGAGAGACTTGTATCTAAAAATAAAAAAAGGCAGCACAGCACAAGAAAATAAAGATACAAGTGGAGTTTGAAACAAAAAATAAAGTGTTGCATGGCACAACTGTGTGAAAACTAAGAAAGAAAGTTGAAGTGGAGAATGAAATTTAAAGGTCCAAAAATTATGTATCATAACACATGGTATTCATATTTACTTAGTGTACATATAAGAAGTACTATATGTATGTAGTTGGTGCTATGTGGCATATATGTCCAAATTGAGAATGCAAATTTAAGGTCCAAAAATTATATGTTGTAATGTAACAGCAAGTGTTACTGTACATGTGGCACCTTTAGTTATTTGTGAGAGAAAACACAATTTTTGAAGCTTTTACTTTCATTCTCTGCTTGAACTCTCTTTCTCAGTTTTCACACACTGTGCCATACAATGCTTTTCTTTTGTTTAAACTCCACTTTCTCGCACTGCTCTGTTTCCTTTTATTTATATAACTCTCTCATGTAGTGGAGCTGGTCACATGGGCTGTGCCCTATGATATCATCAGCCACTGCTTTATCAACTGTATAGTACATGTACAACATGTACAAATAACTTGTAGTAGTATAAATATGCCAATAGATCCAGGAGACTCCTCAGCGAGTCCTCCTGTTGTATACCCACAACTAACTTGATCATATTCTAAAGGTTTACCCACTTCTCCTTCTATCCTCTCTGCTTGTTGTTGTGTGTGCTAGAGTATCAAAACTTTGGTTGTTTAGGCTATGGTTTCTGGACCTCCGAGCAGCCAGAAACTCCTCAGTCCAAACTCCCCAATTTTTGGTTTTCTCATAGTTATGCTCCTCCTGTTCTGCCGTTTAGAATAGTTCTGTACCTTGCTCCCATATGATCCTCCAAATATCTGCTCCAATTCTCCTGCCCCGGACTTCCAGTCTGCCATATGTTTCCTCTGCATGTTCTCATATTCCTCATGGACTCTGTAGTTGGACCTTATGGTATACTCCCCTCATATTAAATTTCCTCCTTGCTAGATAGTTGTCTGCATGGAACTTTGTACCTACATTATGAATTACTCCTTATAGACTCCACTCCCTCCAATAGTATATAAGCTGAAACTCCTGTACTCCATCCCTGCAGTTCAAATATCAATAAGTTCCTCGCCCTTTTTACCCAAGTCCCTTTCTAAGTTTTCCAGTCCTTCTCTGAAGGACTTTTACTCCACTCTACTTTCATCCTCCACTCTTTCCGCTGTCATGCACCAAAGTTGATTGGTAGCATGGACAGGTGTCAATAACGAAGCGAATATTCAAAAAGACTCGCCTTTGCGCCACACAGGCACAGTGCCACGTGGAATAGTAATTAATATTGCCCTTTTCGAACTTGTGGCTGATCAGCACCACCTCTATTAGGCAATCCAGTCATGCTCACCTTTGCTTTTCCATCCGGTACTTTCCGCATTTCGGCATTTCGGCAAATTTTCGCATCACCACTGGCTACACATTGCATTGCGCCCTCGCTTTTGTCGTTTCCCTTACTCCCCTTCCTTTGCCTAGCCCCACCATGGGCCCCTTCCTCTCCTTTTTATTCTCACCTGACGGTCGTTTCTGGATCCCCATTCTAATCCACTTTTTCGTCACCTCCACCCTCCTCCTCCTCATTTTATTTGCACCCCCACCATTTCTGATGTCACCACTTCCTATCCGCTTCCGTCGCCGATCTGTTGACTACCACGTGCCACTGCTGATATCAGCAAAGCCCCGGCGGCCGGTCCAAATAGGGCAACAGGTCCATCTTCATGACGTCGATCTACCATCATATACTATCAAAACATCGGTCGCTCGTCTTGCCTGGTTGGAGCGTGGGTGGGTAATTTTTGAGCTGGAGAAGGTTCATCCCCTTGCGTCGCCCATGTTCATCGCTGTCCCATTCACTTGGGTACACTTATCTTTTGTCCATCGTCTTCACTACAGCTACACCTACCACACGCTGCCTGGGACTCACTTGTTCCAAATTGGAACTACTCCTCTCCCTCCCTCGTTTGATCAGGTGGTCCAACACAACCAGTCCATTGGTAAGGCCGTGGAACTGTCGGATTTGGACTAGGTGGTGGACCGGTGGCTCCAGTTTCTTTTTCTTCAGCAGAACATTCATTTACAGTGCGATTATTTTTGATTTTTGAATCATTTTTATGGACACATATTTTTTTAGAATGCCTGACTGACAATAAAGGAACTGTGTTGATACTGATAGTGTTTTGCCTTGCCCTTTTTTTACTGCATCTTCCCATGACATCATGATTTTCCTGCTCTCTTTTTGCTATTGGACTTTACTTTATGGCTGTACAAACCTGTGACATTACTCACAGCATTCATTGTTCTATCTCTTTCTTTTCCTTTTTTTGACAATCTTATCCTGTACTACCTACGCAGGATTCGTCAGCATACATTCCTTCCTTCATGTTCTTTCTCATTCTTTTTGCACAGCTATACTGTGCATAGCCTACTTTTCTTTTACTATATAAACCCCTGTATTTTACCTTGTAAAAAAAACAACAAGAACTCGATTCCAGACTTCTTCTCTAAATCTCAAGTTCACTACTCACTACTACTTGTGATCCAGTGTGGTCACAACACTTCCCACTGCTACCACTGTTAACTGCTGTCATTGTCACTCGTCACTTTTGAAAGTGATTGTCATCCCCTTCGATTAGAGTCCTTCTGAGCACTACAGTTTGTGCGTCAGGAGCCTGCTATCACTGGGAACCTCGTCACCTCGTCATCCTCGTTGTTCTCAAACCTACCTTGTGCTACAATTAGCAAGGTAGTGCTCATCTATACTCGTCACAAAGCCCCTATCCTTCTATAAATTCAACTATCCCTCCTCCTCAAAACCCACACTCATACACCTCTGGGTTTTACTTTGAAGGATCTTTATACGTACCACCCCACGAACAACCAGACCACTCCACTGTTCTAGGAGGCAAAGCCCATAAACAAGTTCCGTGGAATCTGGGAGGATTGTGTGTTAGTTTGTTTTGTGTGTGGTTTTCTAACAGCAGTTCTCAACATCGACACCGCATTCACTTCATTGAGTTAGGGACTGCTCCCCAGCATACCTCTGTCCTCCAAAACTCTAATTACTCCAAAGGTCAAGGTTCTGACAAGCCTTTGTAATGACACCCATATGATTTCATTGGAGAAAGAGTATGTGTTCTTAAATGCCATATATATTGGGTGGAAAAGATGCTGGGAACATTGTTGGAGATTTGGACCCCTAAGAGCATAGGAACAAGCATGAGAGAAGGATATTCTTTGGCAAAAGGATGCCATAAAATGTAAATACAAAGCTTCTTGTATACCAAATATATGTAAATACGATGTGAAATATAGTAATAGCCACAAAAGGCTGGATACCATAAGATAAAATCTTTAGGTAAAGCCCCAAAGTTTACCTACATAATATAATTTCTACAAATATGGCATTCATTCCCTGCCTCACACTCAAACCCTATATAGAAGATCTTCCTATTAAACTCTCATGCTGCCAATTTCCAGTCCATGTGGCAATTACCATGACTCTCAATAAATTTCAAGGCCAATCAATCTGTATGGCACATTGGGCTGGACTTACATATTCCTGTCTTCTCTCATGGTCAATTAGACATGGCCCTTTCATACTGCACTCCTGGAGATAGGATAAAGGTGTTATTCAAAGAGGGTTCAGAGGATACAAAACCCTCAATATAGTGTATCCAAAGATGCTAACTGGCTTCTTTTTTGATTGGTAAGCTCTTTAGTATTGACATCTCCCAAACTGATTATCTTTATTTTCTTCAAATATAGATGTTAACATGTTTTCTTCACTTTTCACCTCTCATATTTTTGTAAACTAGATAGAGACTGTTATGCCTGTACCATGAAATTGTATCTTGCATTCTTATTATTTTTGTGTCAGTCAACCACTTTAGGGCCAACTCAAGGGACAATAATATAGTAACCAATCTCAGTCTCATTCAGCCATGTCTGACACAAATGGCAAAGCTGCGGTATATGCGGTATATGGTGGTAGTAGCGTGGGGAACTGTTCTGAAGTGGCTGTGACTACATACCTTGACAGCGAATCTCAGCTCCGACCAAACCTAAAATTTGCCACCGTATCATCGACTTTCAGATTCTACAATCGCGCCCTGGTCGTAACTTGCACATCGCATCGTCAAATAATTCAATATGGTACTGTCGTCGTTCACTAAATTCAGACTCTTTTTATCTGACAGTTACACTTTATTAGACCTTAGCTGTCGATCTCCTTAACCCGTCCGCTGAACATGAAAAGCGACAGCACAAGCTTAAACGCCTTGTGCAATCTCCCAATTCGTACTTTATGGATGTTAAATGTCCAGGTCAGCCAGGCATTCCAAGTTGATGTCTCTGTCGCTCACCCTGATCTTAGGTTGTTTCGCCATAACAACGGTATTCTCCCATGCTCAAACTGTTGTACTCTGCGCTGCATGTGCAAGCGTACTGTGCCAACCTACTGGAGGAAGGGCAAGGCTGACAGAAGGTTCGTCCTTCGTTACTATTGATTCTGAAGTCACTGACTGTGGTTTAGGATGTTCATTTCGCCGGAAGAACTAAGCTACTATAGATCTTAGTTCTTTAGTTCTTCTCGCTGTGCTGTGCGTTGTCCCTTTCCAAAATTATGTCCCTTTAGTGTGTACTATCGAACCCTGAATTATCACGGGCAAAACGGGATTGATCGTAGTGGAACTTGTTGTAGGTAGGGAGGCTTGTATCTACCACCAGTTTGGCTCAAATTCCATCACACTATCTCTACATGACAGAGGTTGTAAAAGTATGAGAACAACGCATCTATTCTGCGTCAGAGGAATCACATCAGTCTGAATGAAATGCTTCTGCCTTGAGGGGTATAGTAGACTCTCATAATCCGACATCAGAATGTATGAGTCATTGGGGATTATGGGCTCTGAGAGAGGCATTATAGGGACAAAATGAAGATTGGTGGATACAAAATTCTATGGGTTTTAAGGGGTTATGGGTTATCAGGCCCTTACAGCCTAATCATAGAGTAAGATCGTTAGGCCTAACGCCATTTGTCTTTTAAGTAGTTCTAGTTGGTATCAAATCTGTCCTCCACTTTCTAATAAGGTACCTCGTGGAAGAGCTTTGACACGCTCTCTCCGTAATGACTGCGTCTGATAACCTCCGCAAGCACAGCTCCTATATCGATGACCTCGATCTTACTGCACTTCGCCTGATTCTCCCTCTGAGGCAACGTGTTTGTCACAATCAATTTTTCCAGTATGCTTTCTTCCACAGCTGTGAGAGCATTGCCACTCAAGATACCGTGGGTGACGATAGCATAAACTTTGGCTACGTTAGCTTCCGCAAGGTGCTGAGCTGCTAAACATAATGTGCCACAGGTGTCGGCCATGTCATCAACAAGTATGGCAATCTTGTCCTTGACTTGACCAACCAATACCATCCTGGAAACCTCGTTGGCCTTTTTACGTTCCTTGTGAAACAATGCAAAATCAACACCCAGCCTATCTGCAATAGATGTTGCCCTAATAATCACAGTCAACGCACAGCTTCTCAATCGCCACCTGGATTGCATTACCTCTTTGCGCCACCTGCATCAGGGGATACTATCACGACATCATTCAAATTGAAATGCGTGCGAATATATAGGATCGCAGACGGTTCGGCGTACAGCTAATGTTGAGGACCCACGTTTAGGACCATGCGTGGCAGCCTTCCAATGAAAGTACTTACACTATAGTTCGATACTATGAGCGCATCGACAGCCAAAAGTGTGGAGACCAACTTACTTATCCACAGGGACATCGAAAAACCCTTGAATTTGAGATGCATGGAGGTCCATGGTCTGCACACGATAATGTGTGGGGTGGGGTAGAAATCCATACGTTACAGTCCAGGGGGGTTAACGAAGAGAGAGATGATAGGCCCTGGTACGAAAAAAATGAAAGCGCACTCACAATGACATGATCACATCCCGACTTTTGCAACATGTTGGCGACCAGCTTCGCCGTGATAGGAGCCCTGCTTTTGTCTTTCTTGTCTTGCCTTGCGTACGGGAAGAGAGGTAAGACAGCCGTGATTCGTTTGGCGCTGGCGATCTTGCAGGCGTGGATCATGATACACAATTCCATGAGCGCTGTATTGACCTCGGCGCAACCAGTGTTTATGATATAAACATCGTCCTCTCGCACACTTTGTGCTATGCGTACGTTAGTCTCTCCGATTCCACTTTTTGTCACTTCAGCTTTGGCGAGGGGTAAACCAAGGCTAGAGGAGAGGGTTAATGATCATATATGTCAATTTGCGGATTTATTCACCGTCGAGCAATTATCTCAGCTAGCTCTGGATGGCTCGTGCCTGTCGTAATAAGTCGTCAAACCTGCTGGAATAATAAAACTGTAGGTTATACCAGCAAAGATCTTGACTCCACTTCCGTTTAGCATGTCAGCGTTGCGTTCAGATCGAGATATTGATGCTGTAACTCAGTTTCTCTGCGCCATGAATTAGTAATATTTTCCCGTGGCCGTCACTTACTGGTTTGTGCCACAGCGAGTGTGAGAAGAACTGTTGGCAAAAACCTGCTGCTTACATAACCCCCGGCTTAGCGAAGTTGCTTGTCAGAAAATCTTGGATTCGTTGCAATTGGTCCTCAGGTTAAGGAACTCCAGTTTAGTATCGTCGCAAATGATCACTCGACTGCAACCACAGGGTCTCCATACATTCCTTACATCTTACGCTTGTGGAAAGCAACAAATTCGGGCTATTCGAGCGTTTGCAACGTACCGGAACCGGTGCAGTCACCTTCACTCTGCTAAATGTTTCCCTGCTATAAGAGCGCATAATGCTAGAGAAAAGGTTTGTCTATATTGTAGTCTTATTTTCCATCTCTAACGTTATTGTTTTAGCACGCTTTCCACACCTCTGCACCACTCTGCGTTGTACAAGACCCTTACAAGGTTCTTGGTGTTAGCAAAGATGCACCTAGTGCTGAGATAAAGAAGACTTATTTTGCAGTATGTATAAAAAATCAATAATTGCGTCCTTTGTATTCACAACTCAACGTATTAGCTTGCTCGAAAATATCATCCTGACACAAATTCAGATAAGGGGGCGCAAGAAAAATTTGTAGAAATCCAGGAGGCATATGATGTAGGACGCAGCACCTCAAGGTATTGCATGCAGTCGCTAACTACACCACTGTTTGCATAGGTTTTAAAGGATGACAAGAAACGTGCTGCATACGATAAATACGGTGCAGCATCTCAGCAACCTGGCTTCGATCCAAATGCCTTCTCAAGGGGAGCTGGCGGGTTTTCTGGATTTGGTGCTCCTTTTGGTAACGGTGGCTCGTTTTCCAATGACCTCTTTGATCAATTATTCGGTGGTGGATTTAATGATCGAACTCGAAGTACTGGGTTTGGACAGAATATGAGAGGGAGCGACACCGAAGCCAGTGTTACAGTGAGCTTTATGGATGCTTGCAAAGGCACTGTACGCACTATCAACGTCAATCCTCTTTCTACATGCACAACCTGTACCGGTTCGGGACTAAGGCGTGGAGCAAAACGGTCCGCTTGCGGGACTTGTGGTGGGACAGGAACAAGGACATTCGTCATAGAAAGTGGGTTTCAGATGTCTAGCACTTGTGGTTCTTGCTATGGTACAGGCACGACGATTCCTCGTGGGAGCGGTTGTGTAGATTGTGGGGGCCAAGGCCATGTAAGGACAAAAAAGACAGTGAAAGTTGACATACCACCCGGTGAGCAGTTACACTAAGGATAATAAATACTTTGTGGATCCTGATATCGTCACACAGGAGTGGAGGATGGCATGTCACTTCGAGTTCCAAATGCGGGGGATGCACCAGTGACAGGCAAAGGCAGCAATGGCGATCTGATTGTTCGAGTGAACGTGACCGCTTCAAAGGTATTCCGAAGGCAAGGTGCCAATTTACATCACGAGTCACGAATACCACTTCACACCGCACTGCTTGGCGGACGCGTACGTGTACCAACGCTTGACGGTAATGTAGACGTACGTGTGCCCAACGGAACTCAGCATGGGGAAGAAATGGTCCTTAAAGGTCATGGTGTCCCATCAGTCTTCAGTGGTGATAAAGGGGATCTTTTTGTCTCCTTCTCAGTTCAGATACCCAGGTGAGGGCATACAATATTATTAATTGTCGGCGGTTAGATATCTCGTTTCCGCAGATCCTTAACGATGCGACAACGCGAGATCTTGCAGCAATATGCAGATGATGTTGAAGGACGGACTACAGCACCAGCCAAGGAACATTCTTCCTCGGGCGAGAAAGCCAGTGCTCCCACGAAAGATCCAACACCGACACCGATCGCAAAGGATGCTGTTGATGAACACAATGGTACGACTTCTTTTGCTTCTTTGTCGCCATCTCCCAAGGGTGGTTGGACCTCTCGTGTATGGAAGAGGATACAAGGGCTCATTGATTTCTAATTTATCTATTTTTGCTAATTGCCTTCGTGCTTCGACGCTTTCTTCTCGACAACCTATATTGACGACTCTCACCCACAATCGACAGAAGGTCACACTGGTAGCGAAATGACAGATAGCGGGACATCGGAAGATGCGGAGCGAGGGGAGAAGAAAAGAGCAATTGCATAGTTGAAAGGATGAAGAAGGTGGAAGCATCATGAGCTCACGTTATTAGATACTATCGGCACCTTGCTGCATCTTGACTAAGGAGTACTAAAGCCATCACTTCTATTGAGTTTATCCTACTAGTCTCCAGAATAGAGCGCTGGATTAGGTTTACCCTTTGGGTTTGAGTTTGCGAGGGTCTTACTGCCCAGATCGGAGTCTGGACAGTGTCCAGCTGATTACCTGTTTGACTTCGCCATCGCCATGAGGTAAGTGCCCCTGCTACTGCGCAGCATACGAAAGGTCTTGTACATCACCAACAGCTGCCGCGAATGCTTTGATTCGATAGTATGTGTGACGCCGATACGCGCTATCTTTGAAGTAAAAATCTGTCCAAACGGCGATCTAGCATAGGATCTTCGACTCTCAGGAAGTCTTGCTGTCTTGTCAATGACTTGTGCAACGAGGCTAATGTTCCCCAAAGACCTTTCTATTCCCCATTCGCATTCGGGTCGCAAGCTTTTTCTTTCACGGTCTCCAGAACGGTAAGATCTTGGTGTCACTCATATGCTTCTCTTCTTTGTCACTCAGTGGCCCCTTCAATTTGCAGTCCAAATTCTGCTCTAAAGCCAAATCGATAATCCTACTCCAAAGTCTAAAGCCAGCGCGTCACACCTTTCTTTGAGCGGTCCGCTCGTTAAACTTGAATGGCATTCCAAGGTCCTTCAGAAGTCTTCTCTATGTGTACGACTTAATGGTTCGATCTGATCATCGAAGCCACCCTTGCCCAAGGCCAGTATGGGTATAAAGTGGGCTAGAGTACAATGCAGAGACTTGGAATCTTGAGTTTCTCAGTTTCTGTCCTGTTTCTCAAATCATACTCCTCAAGACATGACACTTTCGATTTTCGGTGTTCAAACACTGCCATCCCGTTTACATCTCGCTATTTCTCCGACAAAGCAGGTTCAGTGTCTTGAAAAACCCTTGGAATCATCAAAAAGCAGCTCGAGTTCTATAGCCCACGACTCTTATGACAGTACCCTTGCTGTTCAAGGTCATCCATTATCAACATGGCGACTGCTGTTCGCGCATATCGGGTAAGGATCTCAGTCGTTTGCGGCCAGATGCACGTCCTGAATTTTACCTGACAAGTGCCGCGATGACCCTGTTTCTTGCTACAACTGACTCGGTTGGTTTTCCGCTTAATTTCACTTACCATTTTCTGACTGAGATCTACGTTAGACTATCGTATCAACCAGCTTGCCAACAATTACTAATGATCTTCGAGCTTCGCAAAGCCAATACACCTGGGTTGGTGTCGCATATATGCTCACTCAGACGGCTTGCCAGCCGTTATATGGAAGAATATCTGATTTGGTTGGCCGAAAGGTGCGTCTATAGGATGTGAATTGTAATTGTGTAGATCTTTACCTTCAATCGCGATACAGAACCTTTTATACTCGAGCATGATTATATTTGCAACGGGATCTTTACTCTGTGGCGTGGCAAAGGTACTTAACTCTACATATCTTTTCTGACACCTTTCTTATTTTCTAATCTAGTCAATATTGTGGCTTATAATTGCACGGGGTGTGGCTGGCTTGGGCGGGGGAGGAATTGTTAGTTCGGTTTGGGTTATCACCTCAGAAATCGTCGAGCCACAAAATAGAGCCAAGTGGTCGCAAGCTCTCAGTGTCACCTGGAGTTGTTCCGCTATTGCAGGGCCTTTGTTAGGAGGGTTTTTCAGCAGTATGTATATACGCTCGTTAAAATGCTCTTACTGATAATACCAACACAGGTAGCTCATCAACGATTAGTTGGAGATGGGCTTGTGAGTCCTTTGCAGTATGACTGGTTCCAACCTTACTTATATTTTGTTCGCAGTCTATCTTAATTTACCTGTTTGTCTGGTTGCATTTGTTATCCTTTCCATGTCACTACGGCATGTTCCACTCGGGCGCGCTGACGACGCTTCCTGGAGATCTTTTGGGCAGAGATTTGATTTTATTGGACTGTAAGTTAACAGAAATAAGTTAGCCAAAATACTGACGTTTTTCTAGGCTGTTGTTCATGGCTGGTACCAGCAGTGTGGTTGTTGGATTTAGCTTCGCGGAGACTAATGGCTGTATGTTGTTAATTATTATCAATCATAACTCAGTTTATCAAAACTTAACTTCAGGGACGTCCGTTTCCACGCTACTATTAATCACATTGGGGCCAGCTGTCCTCATCGCTGGAGGCCTTTATGAGGTGTTCACAACTCGCGATGCTTTGTTTCCGGCGACAATCTTCCGCCAGTTCTCTATCAGTAATCCCATTTTTCTTTTCCACGAGCAGTGTATACTCATATCATGTCACTAGTTGCAATACTCGTTGTTACCTTTTTGCATAACTTTGCATTCACTGCTGGGACTTTCTATTTGGCGCTATATTATCAGGTCCATATATTATCTTTTATATCGCTATTAGAAGCTCGCTGATTTTTGTGCGTCCTCAGCTCGTCAACGGTGCAACGCCTCTTCAAGCTGGTGTACAAATGCTACCATATTCTTTGGGCTCATCTTTGGCTTCTGTTCCTGCAGCTTGGTTCATTGGTTTTTGCCAAAAGCGAACGAAGGATACCAGTGGCCAAAAGTGGATAACATGCGGTGGATTGATAATATCGACCCTAGGTTTTGGTTAGTACAGTATAACACGTTTCTTATGAACGTAAGCTGAGGCCGAAATTAGGTCTTATGAACCTCCTTCATGAGCGTTCATCTCACGTTTCTCAGGCTGTATATCCCCTTATATCTGGAGTCGGATTGGGAATGCTCTTTCACGCGCCCTATCAAATTTTTACTCGAGCTCTGAAACCTTCAGAACTCGCAACAGGAACAAGTGCGTTCTTCCTTGTCAGATTCACAGGCGCCACAGTTGGTTTAGTAAGCTTCTCTCTCGAATACGACATGTCCTTCACTAAACTTGAACTAGGCAGTGGCGGGTAATATCTTCTACGGCCACCTTTCGCACGGTATCTCGAGCAACTACGTTTCAAGCTCGACCATTGATTGGAAGCCTTCAAGCTCCGCTGAGCCTCTCAGATCGGAAGTTTTACATGGTGTATCACTAGCCATCCAGGTGATCCCGCCCATAAAACAAGCCCCAGTTTCAACTCGCTGACTTCATTAACAGGCCATCTGGACGGTTTGTGCACCTTGCTTAGGGGGTGCTCTAGTAGTGCGGCACCCTTTCATCTTTCTCCTAGGGGATCGCCAATAACTTAATTGTTTCCTTTAGCTTTCCGTATTCCTGAAGCGTGTGCCTGTGGAAGAAGCAGTCGATCTCGCATACGACTTAGATAAAAGCTCTACTGACTCCACGCCTGTCAATTAGGGTAATAAGGAAGAAGCTATTCCAGGTGGTCTTGTCACTTCCTTTGTTGTATAATTAAATAAAGACAATAAAATAGCAGACTCTTCGAGTGTCACAAGGCACTCGATCGGTTGATTATGAATTAGCTGTAAGTTCTAAGTTAAAGGTAGAAACACCCATTGTCGCAAAATGAATCTTGTAGAAGGGAAGCCATTGGATCCTTGGATCCTTGGAGCCGAACTCTCAAACTGTGGCATACACTTGGCATTACAATGTAGGCGGCAGCGGTTCCTGCTCGTGACAAATGAAAGATAAGGAATAGCGAGGCGAAGTTTGCCATCTGAACTTAAAATGGATGAACTTTCCGTGTATTGCAAGAGAAACATATTCAATCAAGAATACTGTATCCCCCGATGTAGCCAAATTAAACTTCGTCTTGACATGGCTGTCATGAAATCAAAAGGCCCCGAGCGAAGAATGTCCTGCCATACTGCCTCATGTTGAGAACTCGGATTGCTTCGAGTCGCTAGATGATGATTTTATCGAGACCGTGTGTAAAACCGCGGCCATCATCGCAAATGAAGAGCCAAATGATATCTGTCGCACTTTGTGAGATGATATGAGTATACCAATAGGGTGTCTACCTATAGCTTTTAACAGGATTCAGTACAAATCACAGCGCCTATAGAATTCGTAGCGCACAATAGCCGATTAACTTATTCTCGAATTTCCGCGGACTGTGTACGAAACTTCATTATGACCCCCAGCCTGTATTCCCGAGAAAAGGTAAGATCGTCATGCAGGCTCCCGTAGAATCTGTGAAAAACGTCTCATAGAGACAAGGCTCGCACCCCTCCGCACAAACCGGCTCAGCAGGAAAACGTAGATCGTGACATACCATCAAAACCATGAAGGTTGAAGTGCTGATGATGTGATTCCATTGTGAGTCTGAAATATGGAATATTTTCAAGAATGATTATACTCCATTTGTCTCACCGGCGGGAGGAGTTTTGACTTATCAAAGCCTCGTCAATATTGGGGCTTGAAGCCTGGCCCGTGGGTGGGCAGCATGAGTAATAGCAATTTAACAGAAGACAGCAGGGTACGAACTTCGAAGCACCTAAGCGGATCTGCGGAAAGCCTTGTCGTGTATACAGATGCTATCGTGGGGCACAAATCGAAGCATAATTTGAGATATATATATGAGAGCTTTCAGATCGGCAAGTCTGTCATCGGTGCCGTCCTAACCTGAATGTCGTAAAATGCTACCACCGCGGACCTATTCACTGACATGCTGACATGTACTGCCAGTGACAGCTAGCATATAGTATACTTACATCACTTTCGAGTGGACAAGAAGACTTTGGTAATAGTTAATTCGCCGCCAGTAAGCCTTGTGACTGTACCCATACTCAGGCTTACTGGTCAGTTGACAGACCGTGGCTGGCTCGACTAATTAGGCATCATTCAGCCCAACGAATAAATTCTTCAGGCTGGTCATGTGACTATCCGTGAGATATTCACGATCCGGCACTGATAATTATAATAAGGTCATCATCTTGTCCACAACTATCATGGATCCTCAAGTTCAGCAAGCAGACCATCAATTCAGATTCCTCGCCATAGTCACTACTATCCTCACACACAGTTCATGTACTTTTATAAAAGTGTTTTCTACCTACAGTACTGTGCCCATACCATACACTGTTACTAGTAGGCAAGGCTTGAACTGATGAATGGACATCCAAACCAAATCTGACACAATCAACCTCAAGGATTTTGAGCTTTTGCTGGATAAAATAGGTCGTACCATGTTACACAACAGAATTACACTCAAGGAACAGCTAACAGTAATTTTATATGGGTTTGTTGCAGATTTATCTAGCAACCATATTAGAGAACATTTTCAACCAGAAACCATCCCTTAGTGCATAGTTTAACACTCATAGCAACATTACCAATGCAATTGATTTCAATTCTTCTCATTGCTAAGGGATACTACAGGTCTAGTTTGAACCACAAACCTCTGAACTGAACCTTGAGTTTAGGTTTGGTTGGGTTTGGTTCAATTTGAAGCCTCCATGGTTTAATAGGTTTGCAGCAGGTTTGCAGTTTAGCAGTTTAAACCAGGCTTGAACCCCATGTGCTATCCTCAACACTAAAGTTTTGATAAAACTTCAGAGAATTATTATGTAATCAAATGTGGCTGCACTAGGATATAGGAGATTGTAGTGGTGCTTGCACCAGTCCTTTTTCAAATTTAGGGCAGACATGATATAGTATTATTTTCAGAAATAATGCTAAATGACAATTTTTTTTGTTGTGAGAGCATAGCAGAGAAATGTGGTGTATACTCCCATTGGAGTATCTGGTGTATCAAATCAATTCTGTAGTCTCCAGTTGCTGATCTAATTCAAATAATATGACAGTGAATATATCTTACTAATTAAGGTCTGCTCTGAATAAAAGGCCTTTTGGTGGGAGCTCGCCTTCAGTGTCAATAGCCACATCAATACTTTTGAGAGCATGGCATGAGCTTCCGGAAGCACTCTGCAAAACTCAGACCAGCCTTTGGATAGACCTGTCCTGCAAATAAGCTACTGAGGTGAAGATGGTAAGTAAATTATTGTCTATCACGCTGGCAAAGCCTCAAGACCATGTCTATCAGGCCTGGAATAATTATGATATTCCAGTAAGGGAGTGGGCCTGGCTATTGATTTTAAAAGGCTATGGGGTAGGCCATTGGCCCACTGAGGCATTTGCTCTTCTGTGATGCCACAAATTACTGTGTACTTGTTTAGGCTTTATTCTATATTAATTCATAAGCCAGGAACTTCTATGGGAAAAGTGTATGCTTTGTCTAGAAGAGAGGATCATGCCAATGGCATTGAAAATGACAACAAAGGTGTCACCCTGATGCCTCTTTCATTATAAAGACAAGATCTATGTGCCTGAGTCCACAAGGATCAAAGCAATAGATAGACATCATGACACACCAGTGGCTGGGCACCCTGGGTGGCAATAAAGGAGTTGATCTCCAGAAACTACATGTGGCCAGGCATGGTCAAAGACATACAAGATTATGTAAAGTGTTGTCTTCACTGTATCATGGCAAAGACTTCTCATCAACCACTGGCTGGTAAACTTATGCCAAATCCAATACTAGCTGGTCCCTGGCAGGATATATCGGTTGATTTCACAATGGATCTGCCTGAGTCAAATGGGTATGATTCAGTAATGGTGATTGTGTATTACTTCTTCAAAGAAGTAGTGTTCATTCCCACCAATAAAACTATTACAGCCACTGTTATGCACCAAAGTTGATTGGTAGCATGGAGGTGTCAATAACAAAGCAAATATTCAAAAGACTCGCCTTTACGCCACACAGGCACAGTGCCACGTAGAATAGTAATTAATATTGCCTTCTTCAAACTTGTGGCTGATCAGCACCCACCTGTATTAGGCAATCAAGTTGTGCTTACCTTTGCTTTCCATTTGGTACTTTCGGCATTTCAGCAACTTTTTGTGTCACCACTGGCTACACATTGCATTGTGCCCTCACTTTCATTGTTTCCCTTACTCCCCTTCCTTTGCCTAGCCCCACCATGGGCCCTTTACTGTTTTTTTAATTCTCACCAGATGGCCATTTATGGATCCCCACCTTAATCCACTTTTTTGTCACCTCTTTGCTCCTCCTACTCATCTTCCTTGCCCCTCCCCACATCTGATGTCACTGCTTTCTATCCGCCTGGCTGGAACACAGGTTTTTGAGTTGGAAAAGGTCCATCCCCTTGTGTTGCCCATGTACATTACCGTCCCATTTGCTTGGGTACATTTATCATCTTTGCTACAGCTACACTTACCACACACTGTTTGGGACACATCTGTTCCAAACTGGAACTACTCTCCCTCCCTTGTTTGACCAGGTGGTTTATTACAACCTGACCATTGGTAAAACTATGGAACTGTCAGATTTGGACTAGGTGGTGGACTGGTGGCTCCAGTTCCTTTTTTTCAGCAGAACATTCATTTGTAGTGCAATTATTTTTGATTTTTAAATCATTTTTATGGACACATATTTTTTTAGAATGCCTGACTGACAACAAGGGAACTGTGTTGATACTGATATTATTTTGCCTTGCTTTTTTTACTGCATCTTCCTATGACATTATGATTTTCTTGCTCTCTTTTTGCTATTGGACTTTCCTTTATGGCTGTACAAACCTGTGACATTACTCACAGCATTCATTGTTCTATCCCTTTCTTTTCCTTTTTTTGACAATCTTATCCTATACTACCTATGCAGGATTTGTCAGTGTATATTCCTTCCTTCACATTTTTTCTCATTCTTTTTGCTTAGCTATAGTGTGCATAGCCTACCTTTCTTTTACTATATAAACCCCTGTATTCTACCTTGTAAACAACAAAAAATCCAATCCAGACTTCTTCTCTAATCTCAAGTTCACTACGCACTACTACTTGTGATCTAGTGTGGTCACAACACTTCCTACTGCTACTACTGTTAACTGTTGTCATTGGTGATCCAGTGTGTTCACAACAATTCGCACTGTTACTACTGTTAACTGCTGTTATTGTTACTTGCCACTACAGAATTCACTGTCATCCCATTTGATTAGAGTCCTTCTGAGCACTACAGTCTGTGTGTCAGGAGCCTGCTATCACTGGGAACCTTGTCATCTTGTCATTCTCAAACCTACCTTGTGCTACAATTAGCAAGGTAGTGCTTGTCCATACTTGTCACAAAAGCCCCTATCTTCTATCTTCTAACTATCTTTCCTCCTCAAAACCCACACCCATACGTATCTGGGTTTTACTTTGAAGGATCATTATATGTACCACCCCACAAACAACCAGACCACCCACTGTTCTAGGAGGCAAAGCCCATACACAAGTTCCGTAGAATCTGGGAGGAGTGTTTGTTAGTTTGTTTTTGTTTGTGGTTTTCTAGAAACAGTTCTCATCATCAACAGCAAGTGGGTACTGGCCAATCCAAAATAGTTTGAACTTTCTCAGGATCCATCCTGATTCCGTTCTGGCTGATTATCATACTGAGGAAGTCTACTTCCTTTACTTTAAAATTACATTTTTTGGGTTTGAAAAATAGGTCCTGTTCCTGTAAGCGTTGAAGGACTTCTTGCATGATCCTGTCATGCTCAGCCTCATCGTCTGACTTTGTGAAGATTAATAAACCATCAATGTAAATGACAACAGAGTTTTCCATACCCCCAAAGACCTCATCCATCATGCTCTGGAAGGTCGCCAGTGAATTGGTCAACCCAAAGAACATGACAAGGGGCTCAAAGGACCCTCGGTGGCACGTGAATGCAGCCTTCCAAGCATCTTCTTCTTTAATGTGTACATTATTATACCCCCATCTATGATCCATCTTTGTTAAGATCTTGACACCAGCCAATTTGTCTAGTAGCTGACTGATTAAAGGCAGCGGATAGGCATTTTTAACCGTGTATTCATTTAGGTAACAATAGTCCATAATCATACATTTCTTACTATCCATTGTAGGGATGAAGAACATAGGGGACATCATAGGTCATAGGGCTCTTAGAAGGTCTGATGTAACCCTTCCTTAGCTGTTCCTCTATAAAACTAGAAACCTCATCTCTTTGTGAAGCAGAGTGGGGAATCATGTGTCCTTTTTTCGGTTTGAAGGTGTCCTTCAAGTCTGTAGCCTCTGGGAAGTGCTCTGATTGATGTTTAAAAAAGACTTTCCAGAAGTCATGGTACTCTGGAGGTACCAGCCTCTAAATCTCTTCCACAGGTTTCACTTCATCATTGTCATCATCAATCTTATCCAAAGACCTAAGCTTGGCATAAACGTGACCAGCGTTTATCCTTTTGTCAAGCTCAGTTTGACAGACATGACTTGGCTTACCCAAGTCATCACACTCCTGAGGGCAATATGACAATGTGACAACCCCTGTCTGCCAGTCAATCTCAGGATTGTGTTTGAATAGCCAGGTCCAGCCCAAAATTAAGTTAATTTTCCCTAGTTGGGTAGCCTTGGCGGTGACTCATTGCCTGTGTCCTTGGTGTTTGACCACAAAGGAACATTTGTGCGTAATGCAGCCACCCACATTTAGTGTACCATCAACATTATAGACAGGAATAGATATATTAAATTTTACAAGGGGGGGTCCAACTTGCTCTGCCCAGACCTAATCTATGAAGATACCATTAGCGCCTGAATCAAGCAGTGCACTGGTTGGGTGTACTATGCCCCAGGCAAGGTCTTCCACACCAACATCTAAATGAATCTTTTTTTGGAATAAATATGTGCACATCAACACACACCTTGGGATTTTGTTGGAATGTGGCTCCAGGGAAGAAGAAGTATCAAAAGAAACATGTTTTTCTACTTTAAGATTTTCTATATTTTTATTTTTATTTTTACCAGAATCAAGCACCCTAGTATTTGTCTCACTGGGGCCACACTCCTGGGGAGACACTGGTGCAGCAGTAGTATCATAAATATTACAATCACATTTTTGAATACAAGTACATACTCCGGATAACAAATTTAGAAATTTATTTACAAATTGGGGAGCCACCCCCTTTGTTTTATTGCTTGTGCAACACCCCAGAGCAGGGGCCACCTTGTTGTGGTTTACTTCATTGTTAATAGGAGCAAATGACCTAAGCTCCAAAGTCTTCTCCCTGAGCCTTCATCTCAGCGACCTGCTGGTCATAAAAGAAGGCCCAGATTTTGTTGTACAAATAACTGGCCAGAGTTTTGAGCTGATTGTCCAGCTTTTCTGTTCCTAATTGGTGTGCCTGGCACCCTTGGTTATTTTCTTGTTGGGCGGCCTGCACCCTGTTTCTACATTCTCAGGACATGTGTTCCTCTTAGCCGCAATTGTAGCAGTTGCCCTTGAATCTGTGCATTTGTCTGCCTTGGACCACTCAGAGGTTCAAAAAATTGGTAGGGCTATAGAGTTTTACACCATGCAACTTGGTGGTGGGTCCACCATAAAAAACAACTATCCCAG